ATTTTCTCAGTGGCTGCTATTTAAATGAAAGCTCATTTAGAAGTTCAAGGAGTTTTTATTTGTTTCTTTCAGCCTTTCAAAATTAAGATTTCAGATTTGGCATGTCTAGCACCTAGCTAGTGCAAATAACTCCCAGAGTAAGGCTGAGCAGGGAACTGTGCCCATTTGGGGAGCAGTGCAGCGTGGATTTCTGGCTCAGGCTGGCCTGGGTTTGGGCTTTCTATTTCATATCAAGTGGATGAATAATATCCATCTAGAACTTCTGTCATCTCCTTGTAACCATGCTGAAAGCTGTTTGCTGGGCTGCCTGTGAACCCCAGAATCATTAAGGTTGTAAAAGGTCTCTAAGATCAAGTCCAACCTGTGACCTGTGGAGAGTGAGAAGGTTCCCCGGAGTCTCCTTTTCTCCAGGCTGAGCCCCCACAGCTCCTTCAGCTGCTTCTCATAGGGCTCACTCTCCATCCCCTTCCCCACCTCTCTTCCCATGTCTGGACACACTGTCACCTCAGTGTCTTCCTTGTGAGGGGCAGCCCCCACAGCTCCTTCAGCTGCTTCTCATAGGGCTCACTCTCCATCCCCTTCCCCACCTCTCTTCCCATGTCTGGACACACTGTCACCTCAGTGTCTTCCTTGTGAGGGGCACAGAACTGGACACAGCACTTGAGGTGCCAGAGCTTTGAAGTCCAACCTGTGACCTGTGGAGAGTGAGAAGGTTCCCCGGAGTCTCCTTTTCTCCAGGCTGAGCCCCCACAGCTCCTTCAGCTGCTTCTCATAGGGCTCACTCTCCATCCCCTTCCCCACCTCTCTTCCCATGTCTGGACACACTGTCACCTCAGTGTCTTCCTTGTGAGGGGCACAGAACTGGACACAGCACTTGAGGTGCCTCACCAGAGCTTTGTTGCCCTACTGTAAAGCTGAAGTCCTCTCTTGTCATACTGTGGGTTTTAGGGGGAGCAGGAGGTGCTGGGGCACATCTCCTTGCCCTCTGGCACCCTGTGCTCCCCC